TTTACGGTTGACGTCTTCATCTGTGATACAGTCTTCACCGGATTCATACAATGAACACAGACTAGTTTCTGTATCATACATAAATCTTCGACAGTCTCCATCATTCAGACAACCTCGACCACAGTCAATCAGAGAAAAGCTTGTTCTTTCCGATATTTGAAAATTATGATCAGCGAATTTACACAATTCGGGTTCCTCCAAAACTCCTGTTCGGCGAAACTTAGAATCGAAACTCCCAGACACAATCCTGAACAACTGAAATATTGGAATCCAGAGGTAGAACCGAGCTTCCATCTTGAAACTACGATGCCTTGTCTTGAAACTATGAGATTAGCAAAGATTATATATTTTTACCTTTCCAAGTAGCTCATCGTTGGGGATGTTTCAATATCCCAAATTGCCATCATGAACTGTTTTCTGGTTAGTATGTCATGGTGATTTGTCAAAGGGGTGTGGTCTTTATGACGTCTGGTCATGGTACTATAATTCCAAAGAATATATATATATTAATTATCTTTGCACGGTAATCAATAACAGTATCGATGTATTTTATTTTTTTTTTTTATAAAAAACAACTTTCTATTGTCAACGTCAGATGTATGGTGTAATGATGGTCTGAAATCAATACTAAAACTTCTTTTCTTTTTTAAGATCCCGTTCTAAATTTGGAAACATCAGTCACTCAAAATGTTTTTAAATGAAACTCAATGGGGTTTAACTTCCTACTTTTCTATACAAACAACACTAATCACAGGCGCGGATTTTGAGGGGTGGGGTGGTGGGGACACCCCTACCCCCATGAGACCAAGTAAGCGCCCCCTTCATTCAAAGTCTCCTCAGACCCAGTCCCAAATTACATATTATCTGAAATTTTCTTGCTAAAAACTCAATTACGTAAAAAATTATACGTAGCTGGGTAAAACGTTGGTTCACTAGCATGGAGGTCGGGTGTTCCATCCCTACATTGGCCAAGAAAGTTCATCCAGATTTTCAGGCGTGGTTCGTGTCCGTAGCCAGCTCATAAAATTTGGTGGGGCTACGGAATTTTTGGGAGGGGCTGAGGATGTGGCCGGCTAAGAACCCTCCTAAGAAATCATTATTGTGTTGGCGAAATATTGGGGGGGGGGGCTAATTCGATTTTTTTCTCTTTGGGCGGGGGGGGGGACTAAGCCGACCCTTGTACGCAAATAAATGGTATATCAAGGTTGTGGACCCTCTAGAGGCCACAGTTTTTATTTGATTTGGACGAAACTTTCAATATATGTTTTATCATAAAGATCTTGGTTCCTGTTGATAATCACACATATCCGAACGTAACTTCCTGGATTATGACCCTTGATTGGTCGAAAAATCGCATTTTTAGATTATGGATTGTCTAGAGGTCACATTTTTTTCCAATTTAAAAACCGTTCAGATATATCACCATTCCATCATAATGAAGGTTGAATTGGAATTTCGGGAAATTCGAAATGAAAGTGCCCGACAAAAAGGCCGCTCTTTGTACGTAAATTGTGTATAAGTATGTAATACAAAGGTTATGAACCCTCTAGAGGTCACAATTTTTATCCGATTTTGATGAAACTTAAAACATATCTTTATATTCCAAAAATCTCAGTCCCTTTTGACATTTGCGCATTTCAAACCATAACTTCCTGGACTATGATCTCTTGCAAAATGTGGGCGTATCATGCCTGGCAGCCGTTGGTTTAATTTTCAGCAAAAACAGATGAAAAAGGGAATTGGCTCCTGTTGGGGTCGAACCCACGACATCCGCGTTATTAGCACGGCGCTCTAACAGACTGAGCTAACGGGAAAGATGGCGTTTAAAAAAAAATATGAAATTTATATTATTAGAAATTCCTTTCGATGGATATAAAAGCCCCTTAACTAGTTTCTAGGAGTAACCCTACAACATTTACATAAAAACATATTGAAATATTGTTTTTCATATCTATCTGTCACTATATTTCTATCTTTTAAATTCAAAGCAATTGTCTGTGTAAGTGTGTGGATAGCTTTATAATGCAACCCATTGGACAACTACGATAGTATAGTGTAGTTGTATGGGCAGCCATACTTGCCAAAATATGTAATATTACTAAACACTGATATATGGTATCCTGTTTGATCAGAGTATTCTGCATGGTTATAATAAATAATTAGGCTGATGAAGCAGCTTGATGGAAAATATAACTATCAAAACAAATGGAATTCTATAGGACAAAATGGCGGGTCATAAATATATTGCATCATGTTTAAATATGTCAATAAATTGAGCGGAACGAGCGCCCGGCTAGCTCAGTCGGTAGAGCACGAGACTCTTAATCTCGGGGTCGTGGGTTCGAGCCCCACGTTGGGCGATATGTTTTTTCTCTATTTCCCACCCCTCTCCCACACCTCCAACAACAGTAACCTGAAACCCATGCACCCATTAAAAAGAAACATAAAATATAACGCTAACATAATTTAAAAGACAAATGTTTATTTATTTAGCCCATTTACGTTTCCCCTGATCAAATGAAATGAAATGGGATTTTAACGGCCCGTTATCTGCGCCAACAGGACTATGAGGATAGGCATGCAATGCAATGTGGTATAAGGGAAATCGTGTCCAGGCAGCAGCAGTTCCGATTATTATTCCTCGAATTCCCCCTCGCTAGTTTTCTTTTAAGGGAAGTCTAAGTTTATACGGGAACTCGATTTGTCTGTTTCATGGCTAGGTTCAGCGGAAGTAAATTGGACCCTTGATGAGTCCAATATGGCCGCCGCATATAAATGGGTCTAATTTTAACCCTAACAGTAACTTATAAAATATTTCGTATAAATTTCCCAGCTTGATGAAATAAATTTTTTTATTGGATATATACGAAATAAATACATAAATTATTCCATCCTGCAAAATCGGGGACGTTTACAGGCCATTGTGTGGGGTGATTCAATTCCCACACAGAGTTTCAGAAAATCACACAATTCTGATTTTGATTCAGGGTATTTAGTTTTCAAACTCAAACTGTAGTTCCAGAAAATTCTCTCCGCTAGGCGCTACTTGTTGTTATTTTTCGAGATTCTAGTCAAACAGTTATTTTGTGCTAAAGTTATGAGATTTAAATTTTATTTTCAGGCAAAAATGATACAGCAAGAACACCCCTCCCCCAAGCCTCGACAACAACCAACCGCCAACGCGACCACCAAAGCATAGGCGTAGGGGCTCGATGACAGTTAGGGGGGCAGAACCCTAAATGCCCGAAAAAATTTCGGGTTTACAGACAGCAGCGACCTTGTATACCCCCCCCCCCCCAAAGACAATTTTGGAATATTTGACGGCTGCAAACACGTTTTCCTGCTATTGCAGCCGTTGAACAAAGCAACTTCAAAGTGGTCTAATATAGCCTAATTAAGATGGCTGACTCGGAATTCCAATCAATCGTTTACAGTCCTCGAAGACGGGACCGTTAGGAGTAAATTTTGAAAATTTAACTGCCGCAAACGCGTTTTCCCGATATTTCAGCCAGTGAACAAAGCAACTTCAAGCGGTCTAATATAGCCTAATTAAGGTGGCTGACTCGGAATTCCATTCAATCGTTTACAGTCCTCGAAGACGGGACCGTTAGGAGAAAATTTTGAAAATTTAACTGTCGCAAACGCGTTTTCCTGCTATTTCAGCCGGTGAACAAAGCAACTTCAAAGTGGTCGAATATATATTATAGCCTTATTAAGGTGGCTGACTCGAATTCCAATCAATCGTTTACAGTCAACGAAGACGGGACCGTTGGGAAAAATTTTTGAAAATGTAACTGCCGCAAACGCGTTTTCCTGTTATTCCAGTCTGTGAATACAGCAACTTCAATTTGGTCCAATATAGCCTACCTGGCTGACCCGAATTCCAAACAACCAATCAATCGTCGCGCGGTATATGGAGGCCTCACCCTCCCGGAGAAAAATTTGAAAATTTAATCACCGTAAATGCGTTTTCTGCTATTCTAGCCCGTGTAAGCAACTCCAAAAGTATCCAATGGTTTTGTAACTGAAATCCCAACTGAATTCTAACCATCCAATCAGACTGTTGCATCTGCATTCACAAATAATAATCGATGCCTGAAAAATGTCGCACAAAGTAGAGTGGCTCCAGACAAAATGTTTTAATCCATAGTCAATTCAGTACAAATTCGTGATATTCAATTACAAGAAAAGTAAAATTAGTGTTTTATTAGGGCTCGATGACAGTTAGGGAAGCAAAACTAGAAATGCCCGAAAAATTTCGGATTTATAGACAGCGGCGCCGGTTTTCTTTGAGAGGCGAATGACCCGCCAAGAAAATTTTGGAATATTTGACGGTCGCAAACGCGTTTTACTGCTAGTTTCCTCTGCCGCTTTCCGGCCCGATGCCCGTTTTTCGGGCAATACCTATTTTCGGGCAATACCGTTTTTTCGGGCATACCTATCATAAGAGAGCTTCGGGCATATTTTCGGGCATATGCAGTGGACAAGAAAAAGACGAGAAAATACTTTTCGGGCAGTGTGGATCTCATAGAAATAAGTTATTTATATTTATTCTCTAAACGTTAATAGGCTCCTACGCCTATGCACCAAAGGGAAAGAGAGAGAGGGAGAGTTTAACGTCCACTTGACACAAACTAGGTCATTTCGGGACTAATATGTGGTTCAATTTTATTTCCATAATTCGCTTGCGCGTAGGGGTCTTTACCAGTGGGATGAAAACCGGAGGACCCGGAGAAAAGCCACGAAGTTGGACAGGCGACCCTACTCCTTGTCACGTTAGCCCTAGTGGGGCAGACAAGTAGGACATTAAAGATAAACCTGGGACTAGAATGTTTTTCTTTAAATGAATAGGAATAATGATAAAACTCCTAAATAAATTCCGGTATCGATATATTTAGATTGGAAAACCCCGTTTGCGCCTGCTTTGTGAAATCCAATTAGCGTACGAGGCGACATGTTTACACCAAAAATAACAAGATCTATTAAACATAAACACGCAATAACAGTTGCAGAAAGCTTTATTCAATTAATATAAATAAAAATGGAGTGTGGTTTTTTTTATCGACATCCATTACAATTACAGCTTGATAGTTTGTATAGAAGACATTTCTTACTTTAAAAACCCCCCACAATATTTGGTACAACATTTTAAATATTTATACATTAATAACTTTTGTATATAAGGCTTTTTTGTTATGGCTTTATCTGCATCTATTACTGTTACAGAATAGGAGCATTTCTTAGTCTTCCAGAAAATACATTTATTGGCACCATATTTTGTTTTATCGGCATCCACTACAGCTACAGCTTCGATAAGGTTTGCATCGGAAACATTTCCTCTGGTTCCACATACCACAATCACTGGCACAACATGTTCTGAATCCTGAAAAAAAAGATAACAGGCAAAAAATTGGTACTGTATCAGGTTGAAAGTTGTGTCCCCTTAATAACTCCTTCAGGGCAAAATTCACCTACTTGTTGGCCCTGGGCCAAACTCTTCAGCGAGTCCCCAAATTTATAGAAATATTGACATACTCCGGGCCATATAACTGTTTTTACGGGTTTTTTAAAATATAGTATACAAGCGGATGACCCGGCGCTGGGTGGATTGAATGTAGTATAACTCCGAAACCGGAAGCGATAGTCAAACGCCCCCTATACACAAAATTTGAGCCTAGGGACAGACAAAGGACAGTCACAAATATTAGAATAGAAAATTAAATACTTGAAAAGATTAAAATATGCCGACACGCTGCGCGACAAAAAGCCAATGCCCCGTGCACGTTTAAGACCCTTTGAAATGAAATGGGGTTTAACGTCCTACTGTTCTGCTTCTAAACTGGGCTAATGAAGACGGACATACGTCATACAGTGTGCTATGAGGGAAATTTTGCCCGGGCAGCGGCGCTACGGCCTACTCTTATATCGAATTCCAACTGCCATGGGATCTTTTACGTGCACGCCAATATGTACACGGGACCTCGGCTTTTCGTCCCATCCGAACGACTAGACAGCTGTCCTTGCCAGGCCTTCCGCCCTGCATCACTGACAAAGGGAAACCACGCCGGAAAATCTGGTTGAACTTTCTCGGCCAATGCAGGGATCGACACCCGACCTCCAGGCTAGCGAGCCAGCGTCTTACCCACTTAGCCACGTGATCCCCAAGACCCTTTGAAAGTTGGAATTCAAAATAACAAATGGCCGACGTGCCACTGTCTGGGTAGACCATTTTCACTTAGAGCATACTGTATAGTGTATGTCCGTCTGCATTAGACCAGTAGCTGCAGACAATTTGGACGTTAAACCTCATTTCACCTGTCTGCTTACCTATACTTCCACGCGTACAGGTACAACTAACACAGTTACAACCTCTAACAGTATCTGGATTACTACATGTAAATGTTCCACATCTTCCTCCACACTGGCATCTTGCAATGGCTGTAAAGAAAACAAACAATAATTGAAAACGTTTAGACCAAAGCGAACTGTTCTTTTCTGATGAAGGTGGGGGTCGAGTGGTCTAACTCGTGCGCTTTAGATAATAAGGTCTGTCATTGAGTCAAATGGCGTGGGATCGCCTGCTTCACTTCGTAGGTTTTCTCCGGTTTATTTTTTTTTATAAAATTGTACAATATATTAGCCCCGAAATAATCTAATTTAATTGTGTAAAGTCACTGGTTAAATTTTTAAAATACAACAAAAATATCCAATATCCATTACCACTGAATGTGGGTTATAGCAAACTGTAACGGCGAATGTCCGTCTCCATTAGCCCTGTAGTGACAGGATCTCTGTTTTTCGTCCCATCCGCACGGCAAGACACTGTACTTACTAGGTCCCCAGTCTTATACCACTGACAAGAGGAATCACGTCGGAAAATTCCGTATTGAAACATAGACAGCATAATGAAAAAAACGTTCGTTTATGCAACAAATATTAATGTTTTAGAGGATTTGATCAAGCTCTTGCAAACTACAATATTTTTAAAATTTAGTCTAAACAGGGAATATCAGTCAAAAAACGGGTTTAAATCAATTCAGTCATAAAAAGCTTACAATGATATGATGAATTGTCAACATTCAGCATACATGGACAAAGATCGCCGCCGAATAAGTCTTCACTTAATTCTTTTTGGCCTATTTCTGATGTGATTTATCACAAGACGGGGGAAATATCAACTGTAGATGTGTTGTTTGTTTATATGCTACAGATTCTTGGGGTTTGGGTGGCCGAATGGTTAGCACGTCAGCGCTGTATCATAAGGTCTGTCAACTGGCGTGGTTTCGATTTACCGGTTGTACGTGACAAGGAGTAGGGTCGCCTGTCCCCCCACTGCTAAAGACCGCTACGCGCCAGCGAATTATTAAAATAAAATTGAACCATGTGTTAGTCCCGAAATGACCTAGTTTGTGTCGAGTGGACGTTAAACCCCATTTCTCTCTATTTCTGTCTCTCTCTAATATCCCATCCTAGAGAGCTGAATAAATTTTGCAACCCTCACAAATGTTTAAATAACAATTTATATAACATTTGAAGCGAGAAAACAGACCTGAACTAGTCAGATTTAGCTCTTACATAATGCATCTTTATGTCGTGGTAAATTTAATATTTTCCCCAAAATGCAAATCACGCACAGACACTTTAACAGGCTTAAAAACTGTAGAATTGAAAAAAAAGTAAATGTAATTAACTTACTAGCGTCTGATACTTGAAACATAACACACAGGGCAACAGCAAAGGCTAAAATAACTGTAGCAGATTTCATCTTGAGGTATGGCTGGCTGTATAATATACAGTTAGTTGAACAACAGTTAGACTGGCACCAACAGGAGTCAATATGATTGAGCGAGTCGAACTGACTAGCTTATATATACATGTTGTACCATAGACAAACATCCTATTTGTTAAACTGAGTAAAGATAATGTCACAGTTTAGCATTTTTCAAACCCCGGAAACTGACCTGGTTCTGCGCAATGATTTTGTTTATTTAACGGATTATTTAATTAGGGTTTCACGCTGCGTAGCGTGTGTGAAATACGATTGTTTTTGTTCGGATTATTATTCTTCTTAAGCTTTTTTTTTCTATTTTGATTAGATCTCAGCTACTGCTTGTCGCATTATTACGATGTCTTCGGTTTTACTGGGAAGGTGGGTATGACTTAGATGATAAAGCTATTTTGAACGTTCTGCGACAATGCGAAATGTCCGAAATCACCACAAAGTTGTCGTTTTTTAAAAATATTGCCGTAATTTTGACAATAGTCGTCGGATTTTAACTTTCGATACATTTTGACATACGCTACTTTTGATTTTCGCCAAATCGACGTAGATATTAGGCGCTAAATTTTGAAAATTAAATTTTTACAAAGTATAAAACAAAATTCATATGCTCCGTGGTCGCAAGTGTCATATTATGCTGCCGATAACGTTCCTGTCGGCACCGAAAGTGACGTAATTTTGACAAAAACTACAATTTTGGTGGGTCGGAACGTCTTTTCGAAAGCAAATATTAATTTTTATAAATTTGGCATAACTAAAAGGGTATGCTCTGTAAAGGCGCACAAGTCAGTGAGCTCAGATTTTAAAATTTCGATTTCATTTTCGGGCCATTTCGATTAAAAGGTGAAAAAAGGTCTAAAATAAGCTAATTACAACCCATTTTAACAACGTTTAGCCATAATCCATACGAAGACAGTGTATGATAAAATTAGTTTGCAATAAAAGCAGTTGCTGAGAAACAGGCAATTTTGCTTGAGTCACTTTTCAAGTTATTTTGCCTGTGAAAGTATCAATTATTATTGAAAATGTGCGTCATATCAAACTGATTATAATTTAAAACTGAGATCGGAAGTTACACAATTTTGTCAAATAGTGCATTTCTAACCTTTAAAATCATACTTTTTCAACTGAATATATTATTTGCTACGTTTTGAAAATTTTAACTTTTAATTTAAATCAACAAATGAAAAAGCAGAATACTGCCTTATAGATGTCATAAAATCGTCTCTAACTTGTTCAGATGCGGACAAATAGACGATTTTCTATAAGTGAATAAAATATTTACCATGTGAAGTCTAATGCCTCTTATGATTTCATAACATTAATTTAACTTATTCATTATCACCGAAAGTAATGTTATTTTGGAAAAAAACCTGTATTTTTAATCCCCCAAAACAAATATTTTTGAAGTGAAAATTATTATTAATTTATGAATTTCCTTCCAATGGACAGAATGAATCAACGCGATCATAGAGATATCTAAAACATGTTTCTAACATCTTGCCGAGAAATAAATTTGTCAGGATCACTTTTTAAGATTTTCGCTTATTAGTAAGGCTTTATAAAGGGTTAATTCTTGTCAATTTTTAATAAATTATTACTGTCATCAAAACGGGTATTTCTATATTCCAATTCAAACATTTTGTTGATAACGGATCTGTCATCGTGACGAGTCTTCGTTTGCTGCTGTTAATTTTATGACATGTAACAAATGTATAAATGGAACTGTTATTGCTGGATGTAGGACGGAGGGACTGACAAGGACAGCTGTCTAGTCATTCGGATGAGACGAACAACCAAGGTCCCGTGTACACATTGGCGTGCACGTAAAAGATCCCTTGATTCGATATAAGAGTAGGCCGTATTGCCGCTGTCCGGGCAAAATTTCCCACACTGTATGGCGTATGCCCGTCTTCATTAGCCCAGTTCGGAGCAAAACAATAGGACGTTAAACCCCATTTCATTTCATGTTTATTGCTGGATTTATTGGCTAATTCTGCGTTCATTGTATAACATATTTGCAATGCTAATGTTTAACTGTTTCTTTGGTACGGGATGTGACGTCAGTTCAAAGATAACTTTGAAACCCGTCATCACTGCATCGCAGCTCTAGTTGACATTGTTTTTACCATGGCTTTTCCTGGTCTATGTCAAATCTATTAAGCCTATGGCATCTTTATGTGATGTCAAAATGGATGCTGAACCATTAAAAGACATTTAAAATGCTACCGGATCTATTGAAAGTAGATTTGTTTATTTCATGCGCCATTTTCTGTTGATAGAAAAATGGGTATTGCGATGATACAGGCGCTTAAAAAAAAAAATAAGAAAAAAAACAAACATGTCAAAAGATCCTGAAATTGAGCGAAATGATACATTCTAAATTTATGTTATACATGTACGTGGTTGGTACCCGTGTTATAACGTCTTTTGTCAATTCTGTTCACGCCATTGATCACAACAGTTTAATTTCAACCTAAATACACATCACAATAAGTGTATTGTTAGGCCATTCATTCATTATTTTGTTAAGTCCATACAAACGTTTACTTTCTCCAGATCTCAATTTAATGTTCTTAAAATCCCCCAATAATTTTGAATCTCCCATCCTCTGTTAACGAAACTCCAAGACCTAAGACCATTGTTTTATTTTTAAAATATATCCTTCACAGCAACCTATTTAGCGACTTTTGACCTCCGCACATGCACGGGGGGTTGGTTGGCCTAATGGTAAGCACGCGCTGTATCATACGGTCTGTCATTGAGTCAACTGGCGGGGTTTCGATTCCCCGGTTGTACGTGACAGGGAGTTGGGTCGCCTGTCCAACTTCGTGGGCTTTCTCCGGGCCCTCCGGTTTCCTCCCACTGCTAAAGACCCCTACGCGCAAGCGAATTATTGAAATAAAATTGAACCATGTGTTAGTCCCGAAATGACCTAGTTTGTGTCGAGTGGACGTAAAACCCCATCTCTTTCTCTCCGCACATGCACTACACTAGAACCAATGGCGACATGACTACCAAATTCGAACTTTTCACATAGGTACCTACTAGCCCTGAAATTCTCAAGGCGAGATCTCCATTCCTTCAAGTCATTTGTTTTTGACTCAACACCATTTCACTAGAAATTTTGGTGGAGACACGGCTTCTATAAGGGGAACAGAAATGGTTTTGGAATTGACGGAAATGTTGATACAATAGGTAGAATACCGTCTCAGACTCTGTACTTTAGTCCTATTTGTCACCGATTCCAAAAAATTAATTTTTAGCCAAGAAACGGGTTAAAGGTCTTCAATATCTTTTTAATTTTTTGGGGTGAAATTGTTCGGATCTTCCGTACAAGATCGGTATTAGTATTATACGCATTATCGCAAAAAAATAAATTTTAAAATCACTGGATCCAGAGAGAGAGAAATGAGGTTTAACGTCCACTCGACACAAACTACATGTAGGGCATTTCGGGACTAACACATGGTTCAATTTTACTTCAATAATTATAATAATAATAATGACTTTATTTTCTGATTCGCTTGCGCATAGGGGTCTTTAGCAGTGGGAGGAAACCGGAGGACCCGGAGAAGACCCACGAGGTTGGACAGGCGACCCTACTCCTTGTCATCACTGGATCCATGTCTCCGACAATAAAATCCGAAAATCTCTAAAAAAAATTTAACGGCCTTTTGTTTACTGCTTTGGCATCGTATCGGTGGTCCCTACAACTGGAAATTGCTGTCTTACATTGGTTTAACATTTCAGATGGCAGAGTCGTCGTCTTCGTGCGCTAAACCAGCTGGACTGAGGGCAGATGGGGAAATGAAATGAAAAGAAATAAAATGGGGTTTAACGTCCTATTGTTCTGCTCCTTTGGTCCCGAAATGACCTAGTTTGTGTCGTTTTACCCCATTTGTTTTTTTTTTTATCTCTCTCTGTTCTGCTTCGAACTGGGCTAATGAAGACGGGGGAAAATAGAGGAAGATAGCTTTGCAGACAAAGAGTCACAAAGGATTTTGAGGCGCTTAAATATTTCACCATGAGTAAACTGAGCGAATTCGAAAGACAGATACAACAGCTTAACAAAGGACGTGAACAAAATGACAAGAAGGTGAAGAAAGAAATAGATGGCCTAAAAGACAAGGTAAAGAGCTAGAAGAAAGGGAAAAAAAACGTGGGTAGATAAGCCCTGTAGTTTGTGGTGACGAGGTGGAAGAAGATGAAACCCTCAAACAGGACAGATACCCTAACCCTAGCTACTCCAAAATGAAGTTGAAGCGCCCGTCGCACTCCACTCCAAACCATTCTAGACCTATCGATAGACTGGCAGGACAAACTTCGTGGTCACACCACACCAGAAATCCGACCTCCTGACCGAGGCACAACTAACATTCGTCTATCATTGGACCCAATATTCACTTATTTTCATGCCCATTTTCAACACTTTTTTTGTATAAAATGAAACGTTATCAGCATGCTGTGAGGCGCTGTTAATGATCTCTATCAATTCAGCTGCAGACAGAATGTTCTTTAAAAAAGTTTACCAAACTTAAAACAATACGAATGGCGCCTTTCAACATTCTTTAATTGTATATATTTTTATTTTCAGCGAAACTTATCTATGATGAAATACAGGCCGATGTGTGGGCAAGAGGGTTGTCTCCAAGCCCGACCTTATCACTCAACGAATAACTGATGAAGACTAAAGAACATAGTTCAGAGAAGCCGACGCGTAGCATTCATATCTAAATTAAGGGATAAGTTTGCCGCCTTTGATGACTTAACTTCTAAGTTAAATATTTTTACTTCCTTTTTAAATTTTCCAAAATTTGTTATTACTACTGTTAAGTTTATAAATGTTTATTTCGATTTAATAAATAATATATGTACAATGGAAATTATCTTTAAATTATTTAGGTTTTAATTAAACATGCATTATGCAAGAGCAAAATCTGCTTATAACAAGTCTTTCTTTAGGCCTGAAATGTTATCTAAATTATCAATTAGACATTAATTAACTTATCCAGAAAAAGTGGATAATCGAGACTATGCTGTTTATATTAATGATTTTAGTAATGATAACCGAGA